TTCGGTGTTCTATGAACGAAAAGGACTGGAGTAGTTTAAATAGCGAACGCATACCAACGAATAACGCTAGTATCTATATAACAAATTTATTGTCATGTGGAATTGATTTAACTTCCAGACACTTTTTTTTAATAAATATTAAATATTTTGTGGCTGTTTATGAAAAATATTATTATAAATACACATTCTACTTGTTAATATTACCAATTAAATTTGCGACAATTTGAGCCATGAAATACGACGACTGGATCACTGTGTACAGGAGGCTGTTATGGCAGCAAACACTCTCCAGGCGACCATATATCTTGGATAAGTCGCTCCACACAATTGTCGCTTGGACCGTCGACTTCCTATGGCGTCACCTCTCACATATTTACGTCTCATTTCGTTATGAAATTAGATTATTTCAGAGTAAAAATAGGTTTGATCATGTTCTACGTGTAGCACCAACATTATAGTAAGTAAATATACCATATTTCTTCATTACTTACGTAATGCTAATACGATTTGGGTAGTTTTGGCCTGATTTGGGTCGATTTGGGTAATTCTATGGACCCTATAGCATTACAGACATCAATGCTATAATAGTGCAGGCATCATGCTATAGCAATACAGACATCAATGCCATAATAGTGCAGGCATCATGCCATATTAGTACATACATCAATGTCATAATAGTGCAGGCATCATGCCATAGTAGTACAAGTATCATGCCATAGCAGTGTAATGTGACACAGTCACCATTTGTAATGTGAGTAAATATTAAACACTGCTGACCACTACTTGTGAAGTCAATCTTAGCTTCACCAACTACCAGTATTCACCTTAATAACTATTCTTGCCTTGAAACTGTACAACATGAAACAACTGGTAGGTCCACCCATGTAGTGAAATGCCTACACAGTGGGCATCACACACATGCCCAGTTGAAAGGTGAGACCAAAGATCCAAAGCTCAAACCCCCTCAAGCACAACTAGGTGAGTACACAGGTTGAATCATGGAGTGAGAGGAACCAGGTGCTCTCTTACAATGTAATTAAGGCCACTAATTATAATTACTGCTGCCACCACTCCTCAATTACTTGATTAATTATGCTAATGATAATCCTGACCATGAGGAGACTGTCAGGGGACATAGCCTTACCTTTTGATAATTACTGTATGTTAATGAAAATGAATTTAGAGTCCCTGTTGATAATTACAGAGGGTTATTAATTTACTTAAAGAATCATAAGAGATACTTAACACAAACCAACACAAGAAAACAAGCTCAATATCAAGACTAAGGAACTGAACACTGAAATTAAATTTATTTATAAGCAACAATTTAAAGGTAGACACCAGCCTTAGCCTAACTACCCAGCTATGGTAGTTGCTGCAGGAGGCAACTGCAGCATGCCCTGTAAACAATCACGAGAACCCCAGTGCGCACGAACACAACTGAAGAACACCTCTAATGGAGAGCTGGGCAGAGCCTTACAGAGGAAACAAGACCCCTGAACAGCATAAGGTGAGGGCCCCCCACTCTGGTGGCCCTGCCTCACAGGCATGAACTCCAGAACACACCAGAGAAGGTAACTCTAGCTGTGAACGGGCAGCATTAGTGGACATACAGGAAAGAAAACCCTAAATATATGCAGCCTGAAACACAAAGAGCCAAACCCACACAAAAAGCTGGAATCAAAACAAGCACAGGAAGCTATGCTAAAATTGGAAACAATACAATAAACCAAATGGCCCACACAAGACAAAGAAGTTCAAGGATGGCTGGCACTTAGCTGAAGCTTTGGGTCTTGCCCACAAGCTGGTGTGACTAGAAGCACCACAAGTTGGTGTGGAGATAACATCAGGAACAGAACTGACTTGGGGAGATAGCTAGGAGCAGGGCCCAGGCCACCTGGTGGTGGTAATCATTATTTACGTGTTTTGAGCTCTTTTGAGTGAATTCCTTAGTGAGACTCATTTGCAGTAGTTGTTTGGTGGTTTTTTGAGGCTTCATTTTCTGTCAACCCTCCAGTTGTCTGTTAAGCTGCATTGGCCCTCTGGAGTTTTTTTCTGGTGAGGTAGCAGATTGTCACCTGCTCGCTGCGCCTTTGTGACAGAGGTCAGGTCCTGGCTCTGGTCCCCAGTAGACTAAACAGAACTAGTCACAGCTGATCTGACCTTTTAGTATGAAGCAATCTCAGGAAGGTAACTTCAGGAGCCACAAAGGGCTCCCTTGAGAAACAAACAATACTGTACTTAAGTGAAAGTTAGTTTCTATGGGCAACCAAAGCAGATTAGGTTACTTTCATGTTATGAAATAAATTTTGTCCAGTGTCCTATAAAAATAAATTTGTGATACTGATTGTAAAACTTTAATATATATTCTGAATTGATAAAAATATCCAATTAGACCAATTTTTTTTTGTGTGTGAGTGATACCTACCTACCTTGCGGTTACCTTGAGGTGATTTTGAGGCTCAGCGACCCTGCGGCCCGGCCCTCGATCAGGCCTCCTTGTTGCTGGACTGATCAACCAGGCTGTTGGATGCGGCTGCTCGCAGCCTAACGTATGAGTCACAGCCTGGTTGATCAGGTATCCTTTGGAGGTGCTTATCGAGTTCTCTCTTGAACACTGTGAGGGGTTGGCCAGTTATACCCCTTATGTGTAGTAGAAGCGTGTTGAACAGTCTCAGACCTCTGATGTTGATAGAGTTCTCTGTCAGAGTACCTGTTGCACCTCTGCTTTTCAATGGAAGTATTCTGCACATCCTGCCATGCCTTCTGGTCTCATGTGAAGTTATTTCTGTATGCAGGTTTGGGACCAGCCCCTCTACTATTTTCCATGTGTAAATTATTATGTATCTCTCCCGCCTGCTCTCAGCAGAATAAAGATTTAGGCTCTTTTAATCGGTCCCAATAGTTTAGATGTTTTACTGAGTGGATTCTAGCAGTAAAGGATCTCTGCACGCTCTCCTGGTCAGCAATTTCTCCAGCTTTGAAAGGGGCTGTCATTGTGCAGCAGTACTCCACTTTAGAGAGCACTAGCCTCTTGAAAAGTATCATCATCGGTATAGCATCTCTAGTGTGAAAGGTTCTTGTTATCCAACCTGTCATTTTTCTTGCAGTTGTGACGGCTACTTTATTGTGTTTTTTAAATGTAAGATCTTTCGACATGAGTACACCCAAATCCTTTACAATGACTTTTCGTTCTATGTTATGATTTGACTGAGTTTTGTATGTCGTTTCTGTTTTTATATTTTCATTTTTTCCATAGCGCAGGAGCTGGAACTTATCTTCGTTAAATACCATATTATTTTTCGAAGCCCATAGAAAGACCTGATTTACATCTGATTGGAGGTTTACTGTGTCCTCTACGTTGTCTACTCTCATAAAAATCCTAGTGTCATCTGCAAAGGATGATACAGTACGATAGGTTATGTTCTTGTCTATGTCCGATATGAGGATGAGAAAAAGTACTGGAGCAAGCACAGTACCCTGGGGGACTGAGCTCTTCACAGTTGATGGGCCGGATTTGATTTTGTTCACTTACACATCGGGTTCTATTAGTCAGGAAATTGTAGATCCATCTGCCTATTTTTCCGGTAATTCCTTTTGAACGCATTTAATGTGCAATAACACCATGGTCACATTTGTAAAAGGTTTTTGTGAAATCTGTGTAAATTACATCAGCATTTTGTTTGTCTTTCATGGCATCTAGTGCCGTGTCATAGTGGTCCAGGAACTGTGATACGCAAGAGCGCCCTGTTCTGAAATCATGTTGTCTGGGGTTATGGAGATGCTGTGATTCCATGTATTTTGTGATCTTACTTCTTAGCACTCTCTCAAAGATTTTTATGATGTGTGATGTTAGTGCTATCGGTCTGTAATTTTTTACCTCTGCCTTATTTCCACTTTTATGGAGTGGTGCTATCTCTGCTGTTTTTAGTATGTCAGGGATAATGCCAGTACTGTATCTAGGCTTTGTCTCCAAAGAATGTGAAGGGCCTGCAATAGTGTTTTTTTTTACAGGTCTTGATGAATATAGAGTTCGAAGAATCAGAGGCCTGATGCAGAGTGCATAGGCATACTGTCTATGGCTTCTTCAAAATTCAGTGGGGATAGGGTGACATCTGATATATGATTTGATGTTGGTACAGTATCATATCCATGAAAAATTCATTGGGGTTATCAATCCTTAGTGTATTGAGTGGCTCGCTGAAAACAGTCGTACTGATTCCTCAGTATTTCACTCATTTCTTTGATGTCATCTGTGAAAGTTCCATCTCCCTTTCACAGGGGCCCGACACTAGATGTGGTTTTTTATCTTGATTTTGCATGGGAGAAAAAATATTTTGGATTTCTCTCTGATTCACTGATGGCCTTTTGCTCTCTTTGCCTCTCCTGGGTTTTATATGATTCTTGTAGCTCGAGTTCAATTATTTCCATTACTCTACCTAAACTTCTTCACCGTTTTTTAGATAGGGTGCGACTCTCAAGTTGTTCTGCGATTCTTAGGGGTATGCGGTTTGAGCATACAGTATTTCTAGTGCTACTGAACTTATTTTTTCCATGCACTGGTTCAGGTTTGCATTTTCTAGTTGTTCTAACCAGCCTATTTCTGTGAAGTCTTGGTTTATTTGCTCCCAGTTTATCTGTTTATTATTGAAGTTGAATTTGCTGAAATCTCCTCCACTGGGTTTCGGGGCTGGTTTTGAAGGTCTATTCCTCATGCTTGTCAGAAGCATGGGGAATAGGTAAGGGAGAAGTTTAATAGCAAATTGGAAATGCACAGTACTGTACAATACTGTAGTTTAAGCAGTCAATAATCCATTTAAAGTATTGTACTGCATATAAATAACAATTATTATATAGTATTATCAACATTCAGTATTACTCATTGGTGGTTTTGAATGTAACTTTTGTTAATATTTTTTAGGATGCTTGTTACAGTATAGTATTTTAAAATTGCATTAGTGTATTTTATTAAAAAGTTACATATCTTATTGTTTCCACAGATGCCACACTGGTTTTTGAAGTAGAACTCATTTCCATCGGTGATGCTCCACCCGTGGTTAATGTGTTCAAGCAGATCGATGGAGATGCAGATGAACATCTATCCAAGGAGGAGGTGAGAGGTGCTGGTGGAGGGTGACTTTTACATAGACTAACATTACAGCATGTTCATCACTCTAACTCGTGTTTCTTTTCCATTTTTCTTTAGCCTAACATTATTTAACCTTTAGACAGCAGCTACAGAGAAATGGTCATACCCACTTATGCACAACAAATAATTTGTCATTATAGAATTATTAATTTGTATGAAAATGAAAGAGAGGAATGAAAATGCATGTACAGTACTGTTAAGTAAATATTTATCGTTTCACTGGGTGGAGGCACTCTGCAAGGCTGCATCTGGCACTTGCCAATGCCTGGTGCTCGAATTTGCTGACGCTTCCTGTTTTATCCTCGGATGTTTCACTAATTAATTTATCACTAGGCTTACTTTATTTGCATCCACAGAGAACTATTATATCCATGTGCAGGAGAGGAGTCACAGTAACGTGGCTGAAGTATGTTGACCAAACCACACACTAGAAAGTGAATGGACGATGACGTTTCGGCACGTCCTGGACCATTCTCAAGTCGATTGTGAATTGACTTGAGAATGGTCCAGGACTGACCAAAACGTCCTCGTCCCTTCAATTTCTAGTGTGTGGTTTGGTCAACAATATTATATCCATATTTGCATCATACATGTAAAACCCAGACAATAATGGTTTAAATCATCATATGATAACTGCATTCCCCTAATAATATTCATGATGATAACCAGATTCGTACCATGAACCGGTAGCAGGATTTTTATTTTTAATGGATCAAGGTAAACTCCAGACAGTAATTGATTAAAATCTTATGATGATAACCGCATTACCCTGTGAATCAACTACAGTATTGACGATGTCCGCAGCCTAAGGGTTAAATGAACAGCACATGGCCAATAAGGTAAAGAATAGCAAGGCTTGGTCTAAATTGGGATGATGTATTAAAATTGTTAATGAGGCAAAGTCAAATCTTTGATTCCTATTTATTTTGTGAGAATAACACAACAGTAACAAAGATTTTAGTAGGCTCATACACAAACTCCATGATGATTTTTAATGTAGGTGAACATTCAACTTATTTTCCTGAGATAATTAGTGTTAACACACTACTGTACTATAATCGAAGTTGTTTTTTTCGTTAAATGCACAGCTTATCAGAACTAAGTCCAATAACAAATCATAAACTTTGTTAGTTTAAATTTACTGTAAATACGTACTATTTGGCCTGTACAGTATTAACTTGTATATTTTGGCTTTTACTAGATATTAGAGTAAAACTCCCTATATATTTCTCCATTATACTGTACCAATATGCAGGGAATTTTTCATAAATAACAAGAAACAATTTCCTTGGTGCTGCAACAAGTGGCACCATAGCACACCTGTGCTGCCGTTCCTCATTCTCTTCCAGGTACTGTATACAATTGCTTATTTACTGGCAGATTTAAAGCCCTCCTCTGAATATTCTTTTATTGCGATAGGGGAAAAGGAGGGAGGGAATTATCAAGGGAAAGCACCAAGCCATTACGACCTGCATTGGGAATGATTGGGATGCTACACTGAGTTTTATCATCACTGTGATGTGACCCAAACAGAAGTTATTATTTACATCTGAAATTGTAAATATAGCATGAACACAGTATCATTTGATACCCCACAGATGGTCACCTGATGCCATGTGCAAGAGGTCAATACTATTGTTGAATGTATGTACAGTATTCATCAAACATCTTTTCCAAAATATAATACATTACCTGTTCTCATCATAACTGAAGTGCAAAAATAACTTTTAGTGCAACATTTTACAATTAATACTCATAATATACTGTGTTAAAACAATTATAAGGCAAGGGAGATGAACAAATGAAATACTTAAACATATTACAGATGAGTCTCACAAAACTACACTAGTTTGGACTGGATTTGTGGCCTAGAGGTATTGCACCGCAGCCAGGCTGTGAATGGTGTCTAGCAGATAACCCTGGCTTGGCAGGCATTAAAATATATTACACAAATTTTGCCTGGCTCAAAATATGATTTCTAGGTTAAGGAGTCAAACCTTCATTGGTGGAGAAACTTACTACAATGCTGTAGTGCTTAAATGAACATGAAGGAAAGACTCAATATATGTGTAAGTGTATTAAAACACAAATTTTTGGATGTAACCTAACCTTTCTTAAGGTATTCTATTCAATGTTCTGGTCAAATTTGGTTTTAATACACTTATTCAGTATATATATTGGGTCTTTTCTTCACTTTCACTGGTTTCGGTGCAGATAGCTCCACTTTGATGGAAATTATACAGATTACATACTTGATTTCTCCAGATGGAAGTGTAGTTTCTAGATTATGTAGATTCTGCTAGCTATTTTTGTGTAAGCAACTTATTTCCTGCAATACTTAGAATTATACCAATGATGAAACCATGCCAGTAATCAACACCATTAGTCAGGTTTGATGAAGTAGGAAGGTGGTCAGGGCCTTTTGAGAGTGGGTAGACTTGCTGAATGAGGATGGGTTTGCTACATGGATGGGCTTTTTTGCAGGGTTATCTTCTAGAGATGATTGAGATGATGATTTGATGATGGGTGAATGAGCAGGCTACATTAAAACTGTGTTGATCTGGGTTTATAACGTGTTCTTTTGCATACAACTAGTAATCTGTGTTTTTAACACCTTTACAAAAATCTCAATGGTATGGAACATTAGTACTACCAAACTATAACTTTTTTTTGTTAATAATTATCTGCCTATCAGGCTTTAGGTTGTCAAACTTGCAGGCTGGGTGGGTGGTCAAGCTTTCAGGTTTGGTGGGTGAACAGGTTTGGTGTGTAGGCTGTGTGAATAGGCTGGATGTATGGGTGAGCAATGGATGGTGAGCAGGTGAGCAAACGTGGTACAAGCAGGTTCATTCATTCACGATGAAATACCAGTATAGTGCAATCAACCTAAGTTTCATGACAACATGGTGCAAGTGACACCACCTTTTTCATTTATTAATCACCACATTAATTTTTAGTAATATTTATCAATTATTAAAATATGACATGCAATCAAATTCATTTATTGTTTTTCCATATACTGTACTCTACTGTACAATACAGTAATTCACTGCACATTAAATAACAAGTGGTGGTTTACCTACAATCTTGGAATGATGTCTTAGTGCAATTATTTTAGTAACAGTACAGTAATTTGTTGCAATTGTTATTAACTGACCTGAAAGTACTTGGTCAATTGTTAAGCTAACACTTTAATTATACAGTATCAGGTAACTGGCTGTCCTTGCATGATGACATAGTGCCTCTTTAAAGTGCCTTTAGCCACTCTACATAAATATTGTAATGCTTAAATATTTTCACTATAAACATAACAGGCCTTTTAAGATCTTGAGTGTACAGTGTTGTATTGAACTGACTTACTGGCAAGATGATCTATATTTCCAACAAATGGGAGTTTACTGTATTTTGACTGAATTATTTTTTGTATGCGGAATGGAAACATATGAATTCTAGCTATGCAAACTTATTTCCTTTCATTGGAATGTTATCTACTGCAAGCCTTTGTGACACTGAAACTGAATCCTTTCATTGCATTGTAATTTCCAATGAATCGAGTTCTGCTTGAGCTAAACATTGCTATGTATTCGCATGACAAATATTATAATCACTTATTCTCAAATACAGATGCAATATTTTAAGTCATATTAGGTCCCATCAAAAAATTTCAATTAAAAGTCACACTGTTTGTATTATTTTACAAAGAAATGTTATGTAAGCTTAATCTTCTAATTTAAACAATGTGACTAAATTTGTTGTGTGCCTGCTTAAAATGCTGACTTCTTAAAATTAACATGTAGGAGAAATTATTTACAATACAGTACCGTTTATAATGCTTTCTTAATTTGCATTTTTTTTGTATTTATTCTTAATCAACACTGTATGTATTTTACCTAAGTCATCTTATAATAATCAAATTTTTTTCAGAAAATATCATTTAATCACACCAGCTGTCAAGAAAATCTACTATTGGCTACATTACTCTCAGTATTCATAGTAATTCAGTATTATAACATGATGTCACATTAGAATTTAATTACTGAAAAGATTGTTACCAAACTTTTGACAGTACTGTACTGATTTAAAATTTCCAAAGTTAATTTGAACAAAAGGTATAGTGCAAAGTACAATAATGGATTTTAACATGAATCAAAGATGCAGGGGCCACCAATGATATGGAAGTTAGATATAAGTAATCAATGCTGATTTATACTAATTTTATGGCTAACTTGTGATCTTAAATGAAAATTTAGAGGTAACCATCAATTTGCAAAATGGCACCTGTAATATATCAACCAGTATGATGTCAGCAGTTAAAGTGTGTGTACAATATCACATATAGAAAAATAACCCAAGAGGTAAAGTTAGTAAAGAAGAAGAATTGTTGAGAAGTAGGGACAAAGAAAGAATCGGCTTAAACCATGTATATCATGTGTGGTCATGAGAGTAGAGGAGATACTTGTAAAAGTGCAAGAGTTCTGTCTAAAAATATGAGTACTATCTATTCAACTATCCCAACATCAGTAGAATGAATCACTTGGAGTGTGTACCAGCTGCACATATAACCGAGGCTCACACGGCCCATTGAATAATATAAATGTGCTTCTTATTTTAACAATGGGCTTCAAGACATTGGCAGCTGTTTTCACTTGATATTTATACTTTACCTATTCCCACACACATTAATTTTGGGGATAATATGCTGGAGATTTAGTGTGATATTTATCTACAAGTTTAGTGGCAACTCTGACAAGGTCTTTTACTGATCAGGCTTCCCACTGTACAATACTAGGCTGCCAGTGTTATTTTGGCAGCTGCTCTCATAAAGAACATAGGTATTCTTTATTCATCAATGATGTAAAAGATGTTTACTAGACTCATTCATATTGTACTCATTACCGAGAAGTAAAAATGACTCCATAGCCCCCAACTTTTTTATTACAGTATTTACAAATTTTCTTTCTAGA